CGGGCGGGCGCGCGCGCGTGTGCCGAGAGTGGGTAAACTGCACGGCCACGACTCGCGTGCTCGCGCGGTTGTAAATTAGCGAAGACCAGCCCGGCAGCCAGCCTTTAGTTTACGTAGTGCGTTATGGGGAACATGCGGCGAAGCCTTGGTAATAGACGACGTGGCTATTGCTGCTTTGCATCTTCCGGCTAAGCCCTTTTGTAACGTGAGCGAGGAGATGTAGCACATGCATCTTGCTATAAATGTGCTTACACAGACTTATTAGAATATACTGTGGACTTCCAGCGTGAAAGGAAATATGGGCAGAGAGGATAATGGAAGATGCCAAGGTTTTTGCCCTCTGCAGAAAGAATAAATTCTGCACTGTCTACGTATAATCGATTACCCACAATCTGCACAATGAACACAAAATATTGAAGACTATTTTCATTGCTTATCTTACATTTTCCGTTATTCTCGTTTTTCTCCATAACAATTACGCCATATTATTTTTTATGCGTTCTTCTTTATAGATTAATTTTTCGATCTCTTGTTTCTTTTTTTCTCGTTCATTCTTCAGGTAATTTGTTTATCTGTATCACTATTTGTCCATTCCACCTCGCAACTTTCAAATCGCCTTTTTTCTACTATCATAATGATCTCGTTTTTTTCGTTCCTACGTCTCGCTTCCTTTCTCTTCTTTCCTTTTTTTTCTTCTCCCTCTCCGAGTCCCAGAAAGTTTCTCATTATCCGTTGATCAAAAGCATATCCGCAGAAAAAAGCATCTCAGCCTGCCATATAATTTTTCATTTCGAATCCAAACCCAACTGGCCATTTCACGGTTCGTCACGCTAACCTCCCGCCAACCACGTGCCGGGCGGGCGAGCGCAACACGGGAGCTAAACAGCTTGGCCACCGCGTCCCTTCTTCCCGGCGACTCCCGACCGCTTTTGACCTTCTCCTCGCTTTCCCTCGGCGAGTCGCTCTTTTTATATTATTCATAAATAGCGCGGGCGCGCGGACGCTGGGCGAGCGCGCCGACCGCGCCCCTTCCCCTCCCCCTACCTCCCTCACCCCCACACCTCCCCGCCTCCCGAGCATTCGCGCGCGCGCGCGGGGCATCGCACACTGTGACGTCATGCATTTCATTTCGTGACTAACTGGTTTATCTCCGCGCCGCTCGTGCTACGTGAATTATAGCTGCTTAAACAAGAGAGCTCCGAAAAGGTGGAGAGGATGGAAGGAGGTGCGAATGGGTGAGGAAGAGGAGAGAGGACGCAGCGGTCGACGGTGCGGAGGGAGCAAGAGAGAAAGAGAGGGAAGGGGAGGAGGAGGAGGCTGGGCGCCGAGAAATATTGATCCTGTAGTAATGACTAATACGTCGGGCTTCTCAATGTTACCGGGCGTACCGCTCGGCTCCCTTTCGCCGGTCCGGCCCTCGCCGAGGCTTTTTATACATTCTTACTATGCGAGGTAGATGTTGTTTTTAAAAATGTTTGGCTTTCATCTCCGCCTGAAATAATAGTACGGTCTAAATTGATGACGCTCTAACTAGCTAATTTAGTCTGTACGTATACATTTCCCGGTGAGCTTCAAAGTTCGGCTACGAGCGGGCCGGCCAGCGTTGGAGGAATCGTATTTATTCTGGGCTCATCGCCTGAGCCAGGTGGGAGCCGGTCGGGCGTCTCGAGGGAAAACGCGCCGCCCCGAGAGGGTTTATCACTCCACTCCTCCCCTCCCCTC